ACACGATGGTTCGGAGTCATTGGCCTCTAGGATCTTACTGCCTGCACTCCAAGCCAGGCAGAATCACTCCACAAAATAACCTGTATTCTTTGGGGATTTTGTTTGGTTACTTGTTTCTTTGTGTTGTTGCTTTTCAAGACAGGGTTTCTCTGCTGCTTTGGAGCCTGTCCTGGAACTAGCTCTTGCAGACCAAGCTGGTCTGGAACTCACAGAGGTCTGCCTGCCTCTGCCTCCCGAGTGCTAGAATTAAGGCTTGTGCCACCACCACCCGGCTAACCTGTATTCTTTGAGACAGAAACATCATAATCTGCTACTGTGTTCTATGGACTTGAGAAGATCCTGTGGACCAAACTAAGTGTCTTGGTTAGGGTTTCTATTGCTGTGATGAAACAGTATGAACAGAGAAACTTGGAGAGGAAAGGGTTTATTGATTTATACTTCTACAGCACTGCTCATCATGGGAGAAGATCAGGACAGAGTCTAGAGGCAGGAGCTGATGCAGAGGCCATGGAGGAGTGCTGCTGTTTTCTGGTTTGTTCCATTCCACTACCCCTGCTGTCCTTATTATTCATCCCATGGTACTGTTATCTCCAAAATGCTGGGTTCTTCTTCTGCAACTGGACTGCACTTTCAAATAACCCTGAGGAAGTCATGTGGAACAAGCCAGTCAGCAGCCTTCCTTCCTGGCACTTTCTCCAGTGAATTTCTGCAGGGTCCTGCCTGAGTTTCTCCCCTGATGTCCTTCAGTGATGGACTGGGACCTGAGAGCTCTAAGAGGGAATAAATCCTTTCCTCCTCAAGTTTCTTTTGGTCACAATCTTTTGTCACAGCAGTAGAAACCTGTCTAAGCAGGATGTGCAAATTCCAGGTCCCATGTGTGTATTGACAGGATGCCCATGTTCCTACATTCCTTATAGAGAGTCCAGAACTAAGAAGTAAGAACACAAGGGGCCTGCTTTCCCTTCATAACCATTCAGCCATGGTACAATTGTGAGTCTTGTCTCAGGAAACACACACTGAAGCAAAGGGACAGAGCTGTGTTCGTACACAGGGCTTTGCAAGAGTAAGGATGAAACACGTGAATCTTCTGGGAATTCCTTTCTGCAGCTCCTTCTGATACTCCCTTCCCTTGTTGTCACTCATCCTGGATTCAGCATCTTTCAGGATGATGCTTGGTGTGACAACTAACATAAACCCATGAATCCTAAGTGGAAGTGATAGTTCCAGGGGAAGGGAGGTGCTGGGGAAGGCAATAGCTCCAGCGATGGAGCTGTCCTCACACTGCTAATTCCTCCTTTTCCTCTCCACTCTGGAGCTGGATGAGAAGTCAACACTCTGAACCTGTGCAGCACAGGGAAACAGCAAAGGCCCAGGTTCCACACGGGACTTCAGTGACTACAACTACAGAGTCTGAATGTGCTGCTGGCTCCGAGTGATGCTGGACAAGAGGCTGCTTGGGCAACAACTAGATTCTCTCCTTGATTCTTCTCCAACCTCCACAGCAATAGATTCATGCTTATGGTTCGGCCTATATTTGAGACCAAACAGGTGGCATTTAAGAATACATGTGTATACCCAAATTCTTATATACAAGCAATAATAAGCGATGAACTAAGTGGCCATGGATTTGAAGGTGAGTGGAAAGGATTATATGGGAGTCTTTAAAGAAAGGAATGGGAAGGGAGAAATGTTGTAATTTAAGAATTTTGAATAATAAACAAAAATGTTATATTGTCACCCCTACTAGATGTTGCACCCTTCCCCTATGGGGTCTGCTGACCAGCTTGTGACTAGGAGCTTCTAGCAAAATACCTCTTGTCCCCTCCTTCCAGTTAAGCCTGAATGCAAGCTCTTGTTTTCTGTCCATTCTTATTGTCTAAATGCTAATTCCTGTTATCAGCCCATCCTTTTCCGGAGGACCCTGGGAATGTGAGCTCCTGACCTTGGTAGACCTTGGTAGTTTTCCACCATGCCTGCTGTTGGTATTTAACTCTCCACTCTTGTTAAAATAAACGCCATTCTCCTTGCAAGAATGAGCCACTGTCTTTGTCTTCATTTACATCCTTAGCCCTTCGCTCGGATCTTTGTGAAGTGTTGTAGCCCCATAACCAAACCGGTTGCTACAGATGGAGGTCCCACCAAGATCGGGAAAGAAGGGAAACTGCTGAAGAATTACACTCGAATGCTGGCCAGCAAGTAAGGTATGAAGGTGTGACTGGATAAGGGTACCAAGTTAGGGGTACTGTGTTATCCCCCAGCCTTCGCCCAGTCTGCTGGGACTGGGAAAGCAAGGTGTCACTGGGGGGAGGCTCTTGTTGAAGGGCAGTTTTGAGTCAGCCCCTACAGAAAACCAGTCAGCATTCTCATTAAGATTAGGAGTGAGTGTATTAAATATGGGTGCTACTAGTTCCTATCCTCTTTGGGAGGACCATTTGATCCAACTGTTGAAACGTCAGGGCACAAATATCAAACATAAGACAGCCAAAGACTTCTTTAAAAACTATACATAAAGTCAGCCCTTGGTTTTTGGTCTCTGGTGATCTTAATTTCCTTGATTGGAACCAGGTTAGAGTGGCCCTGCAAAGAACTTTACATAAGAAAGGGTCAAATACCATACCAATTGTTACCTTTTCTCTCTGTCGTCTTGTTAGAGATAATAAAGCAGTGAAAAAGCAGGTCAAAAAAGCTAAAGATGCCTTCACAGAGGCTCAGGACCAAGAGTCTGTTAGATCAATTCAAGCTTCCTTCTTCTGAGTTCTCTCCCTCTTCTTCGGGGGATGAGACCAAGGAACACAAAGAGCCTCAACTTGAGAAAGGCATCCTCAAGTTAAAACATAAGCTTAAAAAATGCTCCCTTAAGCCTCATCCCCCTGCCTGTAATCCTAAACATTCTGGTTCTCTGTTTTCATCCTGGGGGCCGGGGTCAGATAGAACATTCCCTTCTTGGCTTTGGGGGAAATGGAATGGTTGAGGGTGGCAGTTGCGGTGTGTGGGCCCCATGCCCTTTTCTATCTGGCCGTTTTTTAATCCTTTGCAGCCTTAGTTTGGGCCCCCAATGATTGGCAGCGATTATGTTGCGCTGTGCTGTTGGGGGGCGGGTTGTTTGGTCTGGAGGGGTGAATGCCAGGAATTGTGTGGCCAGGCAGCACGCCATGGCACGGCTGCCAGTTTCCTTGGTGGGAATTTGGAGGTGCTTGCTGGCACGGGAGCCTATGTGGCTCTGGGTCAGCAGGTCTTTACGACCCAGCTGTTTGTGCGCAGACCTCAATGGCTGCTGGCCACACATTTGAGGATCTTCGGACCGCCTTAGGATTGGCTGGCTTGTGGGTGACGCCAGAAAAGGTACAAAAGGAGTGCTAATTCCTGTTATCAGCCCATCCTTTTCCGGAGGACCCTGGGAATGTGAGCTCCTGACCTTGGTAGACCTTGGTAGTTTTCCACCATGCCTGCTATTGGTATTTAACTCTCCACTCTTGTTAAAATAAATGTCATTCTCCTTGCAAGAATGAGCCACTGTCTTTGTCTTCATTTACATCCTTAGCCCTTTGCTCGGATCATTGTGAAGTGTTATAACCCCATAACTGAACCAGTCGCTACAACTAGAAAAACATAGATACAGAATATACAGATACATAGTTTGAGCTTCTATGCTACATTCAGCAAGGTCTTAAAAAGCTGTCCCTGTCAATAAAACACATTGGGACAAAGAAAGAGACCAGGCTTACAACCCTCAGCATCTTAGCTGTTTTCCGTGGTTGTGTGAGTCGAGAGAAGATGCAGCTCAGGGCCCATGGGCCGGAAAGCTGCTGACTGGTAGCTCCAGCTGCTTCACTAGAACCAAACAGAAAATAGTCCCAGCCTAGGCTCCTTACTCCACCTAGCCCTGGCTGTGGCCAGGAGCCTGCCAACTCCTCAGTGGCCCAGGTGGCAGAGGTACACATCGAAAGCCATGAAGCACATCACAATGGGTGCTAGTTTGTGCCATGAATAAATGGTCCTTTTATGTCTTCTTGGGAAAGCCAAACTGGATGTTTTCCCTCAAGACTAATCCCAAATCACCAGTTTTGTGTCTTTTTCAAATGTCTTGAGCAAATTATAAATAGGTCTGTATGTAGAAGTCTTTGCAAAGAGATGTAAACATACATTACTTTCCCAGTACACACCTCCTTTCTCCCTGGAGGAAAGGAGAGTGCCACCCAGCAAGGCAGCCCCTCCAGAGGATACAAGACACACTTACAAGCTAAGCGGGGCCACCTCACCTACAAGGGCCACAGAGAGGAGCACTGAATGACAGGAAAAGAGCCAACCAGGACACAGTTACCAAAAGTTGAGTCCCCAGAACAATAAGCACTGGTGTCTAGAGCAAAGGCCATTCCTTTTGGAGGTATTTACTGATCCAGTGTGGCTACTTACCATCTTTACGAGTGTAAGGAACCTGGCGCTGTGCTGGACACAGATGATGGCCGAGACTGGATGTGGTCACACCACAACAGGCACTACCCAGGGTGCACTACTCTCACCCAGACCAGCCCTCCCACACTGTTACTGTCTGGCATATACAAGGCACCTGCTGCTACTCACCCAGTGACTCTTCAAGTTGGTTGGAAAACTTTTTCCCGCTTTTTCATGGAGACACCATAGTTTAGCATATAAGAGGATTTATTTTCGTAGAATAAAAACATTTTATCATCATTCTCTATTTTTACACTGAGGTGACAGCCTTTCCCTCTAGTCCTCCCAGAAGAGAAGAAGACACCAGTTGCAAATGGCAGGTGAGGTGAGGTGAGAGGAACTTCAAGGTGGACTGAACGATGACCTGCTACACGCTCACCAGGGGATGCTGAGCCTCCTGTCCAGGGTCTCCTGTACTCATCATGCTCAGACAACCTTCTGAGAGTCATGAAATTCATGATCTTCAAAGTGCAGTCTTTTACGTTGATGATGAATATGTAGTTATCTCACACCAGGGTTAAAACAAACAGACCAAAAAAGGCTTCCCGTTATCTCATCCAGGCTGCCCACCCTAGGCCCCTGACAGGGGGCATGTGAGGTCGGGAAACGAGGGTGGGTACAGGAGGCTGAATCCCAGGGGAAATAGCTGCAGGTGACAAATTCAAACCTGGAGGAGGGTGAGGAGGGACTGCATGGGTGGGGGGCAGGTGTGAAGGTGGGGGCAGAAAATTGGGATTATAGATAGGGCGAGGGGGAAGATAGCCTGGGTTAGGGAAAGGAGTGGTGGGTGGACAGAAGAAAGCTGGGGGTGTAGGAACAGGATATGGAGGGGGGCTGGGGGGGTAGACATGGGGGCGGAAGGGAAGGTGAGCAGGTGGGCCACGGACTGGGGGCAGGGCACCATAGGAGAGTCCCTCGGTCTCCATCATGGACTGAAGGTTCTGGTAGCCATCTCCTGACCTGAGGGAGCTGGTGGTAGACATCCCAGTCATGCACCTGGGAGGTGGTGGGAGTGGGGGCCAACATAGCAATGGGGGAGGTTTGTGCACAGGGGCCAGATTCAATGGATGAGGAATCTGGATTTTGGGGAAGTCGCTTGCTTCCACTGAACCAGTTGCTTCAGCCTCAGCTAAGGCAGGAGAAAGGGGAGGCTTCCGGTCTGGAGACAATGGTGAGTGAGTGGTCTCAAGTTTGGGAATTTTAGGTGGTGGTTCTATGGTTTTGTTCTCTTCCTTTGGAGAAACCACCAGGGCTTGCTTAGCCTGTCCTGGAGCACTGGACTGTGGGGACTCTTTCCTGGGCTGCCAGTGCTGCTGAGCTGACTGCTGGGAGTCCTCCTGCTGGGGCAGCGCTGCTTCAGAGCCTTGAGATGTCTGTGACTGAGGTACTTGCGGCACTTGTGGTGTAGGCTGAAGACACGGGGGCTGCTGCAGCTGATGAGGGGTGTGATGAGGCATCTGTTGTTTCCCCTGTGAGTAAAGATCCAGGATCTGGTGGCAGATGTCTTCCAGAACATCAACAGGGACATCCTGAACAAACTGTTCCCACCACCTCCTGTACATGGGTGTGGAGGTCCACTCCTGTATTTCATATTTGTGCAAGCGTCCCGCAAGATACATCGCTGCTACAGCTATGATCTCCGGCTCCCACTGTAGGGACACAGTAGTGCAGAGACTGTCATTTACAAATGTCCATGCCATTTGAACCAACTTTTCAATTTTGCTTTTCTTTCCTCTGAGCTGCTTTGCATATCTGAGCAGGAACTGGTAGGGATGTTCCACTTGTAGATCAAACTTTATGGTCTGCAGTAAGATCCTCTCCAGCACCAGGACTTCTTCCTGTGGGTCTTCTCCAAACTCAACGAACTGGACATCATTTAATAAACTTCGAGCCGTTTTGATGATATCTTTACATTTTTTGGGTGTTTCCTCTACTTTTCCAGCCAGAAACAGACAACAAGTTCCAGTTACATACTGCGGGAATTGCTTGAAGGAATGAAACATATAGAATCGATGAAAATAAATGACTCCAGTTGCCAGGGTGTCATAGTGTAACCCCAAACATGTACCCACATCAAAGATGAAGCGAGCCCCCTCTCGGCGGTACCGGGCCTCAGTGGCTGGATCAAGTCCTTCAAGTTGTGATGGTGTATGCGAAAAGTCCTTCTTATCCCAGTACCAGCATGGGCTTGTGTGGTCCAGGTTTGCTGATGTGACTGAAGGGCTTGAATTTTCTTTGTTCTCCTCCATTTATTGAGTAGACTTGTTCTTCCCAAAATGGCCTCTGGAATGTTACAATCCTCTGAGAATCTTTCTTTAGCACAACAGCAAGCCCCTGCCTCAGGCAAACCCCTTAGAGACATCTCTCCTTCCTGACAGCAGCCATCTTGGATGCCCTGGGTCAAGTTCTATGATAATGACTTCTCCACGGATGGCCTATGACATTTCTACAGCACACAGGGAACATGAAAAAGATGGCCATAGAGCATTACCCTGCCCCTCTGGAGTGCTATGACCCTTGGGGTTATGTCCGCTCAGACTGATTTCTTCAACTTTATTCCGAGCTTATGGATACACTTAGGGTTTTAAGGCTGCCCAATAGGGTCTTATTTACTACAAGAGTCTACACATGTCATCGACTATGTATGTATGACAAGCAGACCCATCTTTGTGTTTGCAGTAAAAAGGGAAATGTCCTTTGCCTCCTGTCACTAGTTATATCCCTCTTATGTGTCTGTTCAGCATCCTGTGTGCACAGACATGTTATACTGGAGTGAGTAATGGATACGCGTGTCCCCATAAGGCATGAAGGAGATTTTGGCTGAGTTATTGCCAGGGAGTCAAAAATATGTGATCTATAGGTCTACTTGAGCCCTATTTCCACAAAACAAATAAAAACACTTTTTTTTTTTTTTGGTTTCTCTGTGTAGCTTTGGAGGCTATCCTGGAACACTCTCTGTAGACCAGGCTGGTCAGGAATTCACAGAGATCTGCCTGCCTCTGCCACCTGAGTGCTGGGATTAAAGGTGTGAGCCACCAACACCCAGCTAAAAACACTAACTTAAATGTAGCACAGTATAAGGGAACATGCTAGTTACCTCAGCACCCTGAGGCTAGAAGGTGTTGATTTCTAACCTACCCAGAACTACAGTGCCAGTTCTAGGACAGCTTGAACTAGGAAACTCTTATCTCAAAACAGCAGTCACACTGAGATCAACAAGCTATCATAGAAAGACATTTGAGATGAAGGCAAACCTTCGTTTACAATTAAACCCAGTGTCTTGAATGTGTTCATCTGAAGAGACAGAAATCAGCATTTCCTGTTCATTCTTAGGTCTTAAAGTTTCCCAGATCAAATTGCCGGACCCAAGACCCAAGGGAGGACACTTACTCACCAGTTCTGAGCACTTAGGACAGGTTCCTTTATCCCAGCTGAGCCAAGCAACTCCTCCAGCTCCAGGTCTCTGAGTGTCTTGGCTGGCTCTCCTGGAGCCTTTATATACCTCTCTGCTCATGCGCCCTACTGCAGCCCCGCCTTCCAACCTCAAGCTACAATTTGACTGGGTGGTTCAATCTGAACACGGTGGGTGGTTCTCAGTGAGTTCAATACTAGCCTGATCTAAGTAGCCAATTCCAAACCAGTCAGGCATACAGAGTGAGGATCTCCCTTTAAAATTTTAAGCTGGGTGGTATCAGGAAACATCTCTAATCCCAGCACTCAGGAGGCAGAATTAGGTGGATCATAAATCAAGGACATCTGAGTCTACAGAGTGAATTGTAGGACAGGAGAAGCTTCAGAGGAACCCCTCCTGGAAACCAAAAAATAAACAAAGAAACCATTTTTTCTTTTCTTAAAAAAATTTTTTTGAGACAGGGTTTCTCTGTGGCTTTGGAGAAGCTCTTGTAGATCAGGCTAGTCTCAAACTCACAGAGATCCACCTGCCTCTGCCACCAGAGTGCTGGGATTAAAGGTGGGCACCACTAACACCCAGCCTCTTTTTTTGTTTGTTTGCTTGTTTTGTTTTTCAAGACAGGGTCTCTCTGTATTGCTTTGGAGATTGTCCTGGAACCGGCTCTGTAGATCAGGCTGGCCTAGAACTCACAGAGATCCGCCTGCCTCTGACTCCCAAGTGCTGGGATTAAAGGTGTGTGTCACCACCAATGCCCGGCCCAAAACAAACAAAAAAAAATTTTTTTAATTTAAGGGAATTTAGCAGCCAGTGAGATGGCTCAGGAGGGGCCACCAGGGGGGAATGAGCGAGACCTCAGTGTCTAGTCCTCCTGTCCCAGCATGCACTCTCTCCTCTCAGAGCAGCAGCACACAAACGAGCAAACACGTTAATCATCAAAGACACATAAGGAGTGCTGATCCAGGGTCGGGTGCAACCTTCAAGAGAGTGAAGAATGCTCAATGAAACTCCATTTCTCCAAGGTGCAGTGATGACAGCTGGGCTAATGGCAGAAGACAGAAATCTCTGAGCCTGTGAGTTCCTGCAAGTTTCTTCTGGTTCTTTTCTGTGGTTGTGCTATGTGCCTTTGAGGAAATAGATGTTTTTCCATCCAGTGTGTTCCGGTTATGGCTTTCCCTCCCCCAACTCCTCTGAGACCCTCCCACCTTCCTTCCATCCAATCCATACTCTTTGCGTCTCTCCTAAAAAAACAAAGAGACACCGAAAGAATAGTAAGAAAGAGCCGGGCAGTGGTGGCGCACGCCTTTAATCCCAGCACTCGGGAGGCAGAGGCAGGCAGATCTCTGTGAGTTCGAGGCTGGGCTGGACCAACAGCCTCCAAAACAATACAGAGAAACCTTGTCTCGAAAAAACAAAAAACAAAAAACAAAACAAAAAAAAAAGAATAGTAAGAAAGATCTGGTGTGGTTGAACACACCTTTAACCTCAGCACTCTGGTGGCAGAGGCAGGTGAATCTGAGTTCAAGGTCAGCTTGGTCTACAAAGTGATTTCTAGAACAGCCAACTCTATTACACAGAGAAAGTCTGTCTCAAAAAACAAACAAAACAAAAACAAATTGGAATAGGAAAAGTGAATAGCAGAGGAAAAGGAACCAAACAAAACGCACGAGGAAGACATAGATTCAGAACACCCACAGGAATCTCCTAAGAGCACGAAGTTGGTAGCCATAACATCTAAGCAAAGAACCTATAAGGTATGTGTTTTTGGAAGTATGTGTGTATATACACGGTCTAACAAAACATTACAAGACAAAGAACCTCCAAAAATGCCATGAGTCTATTTAGTGTTGGCCATCTACTGCTGGTCATTGGACCTGTCCTTAAGACTTGTTTAATTCCAAAAAAAAAAAAAATTGAACTGGGCGTTGGTGGCCCAGCAGAGGAAGAGGCAGGTGAATCTCTGTAAATTCGAGGTCACCCTGGTCTACACAGAGAGTTCCAGGACTGGCTCCAAAACAATACAGAGAAATCATGTCTCAGAAAACCAAAAAAAAAAAAAAAAAGAGTTGTTTGATTCCCAGGGAGACAGCATTTGAGAGAACTAATTTTTCATCTTCCTCCTTATCTATTGGAGATTGTTTCTGGGTTAGGGCTGGGAGCTTGTGTCCATTTCTGTCAGCACCAGCACCCCACATGGTACAGACTCATGCGGGCCCTGTTCAGCCACAGTCTCTCTGAGTTCATAAGTTCATCAGTCCTGCTGTGTTTAAGGTTTCTTGATGCCCACCCTCCCTTCTGGCTCTAACACTCTTTCTCAATTACACAGGGTCCCTGAGCCCTGAGGGGATTAAAGGAGTGTGGATCCCCAGGGCTGGAGTGAAACACAGTTGTGAACTGCCTGACATGGGGCTAGGAGCCAAACTTGTCTCCTCTGAAGAGAAGCAGTGCTCTTCAGGGCCTGGCCATCTAACCGCCTGGCCTTGAAGCCTTGTTCTCTTATTGATTGTGCCTCCACCTCCTAATGCCTGAGCAACAACACGAACCAACACATCCAGCCTGCATGCCACATGGGTTTGGGGCCACATCCTCCTGGGCTCTTAAACTTAGCAGGGCTAATGGTATATAAAGGTGTCCAATGTAAAGCAAAAGTCATTCAGCTATCCTAAAGTACTCCCTGGGTCCAATGCCTGTATTTTAACTCCTCAACTGTAATATATATTTCATTATAAAAGTCTCCCAAGTAATCAGTTATATTTTTCATGGACCTAATATAGTAAGAATAAAAGATTTTCCTCATATTCCTTTATCTATTTTTGGTTTTCGGGACAGGGTTTCTCTGTAGGTTTGGAGATTGTCCTGGATCTCTTTTTGAAGACCAGGCTGGCCTGGAATTCACAGAGATCCACCTGCCTCTGCCTCCCAAGTGCTGGGATTAAAGGCATGTGCCACCACCGCCCGCTAGCCCACTGAGTCTTGAAAACCTTTTTAAAGTTTAGTTTGTTTTGAAAATCTTATTCCTGAGTAAGCACAAGAACAGATGTTTCAAGAATATCTCAGAGCCTCAGGGCTGGAGAGATGGCTCAGAGGTTAAGAGCACTGACTGCTCTTCCAGAGGTCCTGAGTTCAATTCCCAGCAACCACATGGTGGCTCACAATCATCTGTAATGAGATCTGGTGCCCTCTTCTGGTATGTACAGACATACATGGAGGAAGGATGTTGTATTCATAATAAATAAATAAATCTTTAAAAAAATAAATAAAAATAAAAAAAGAATATCTCAGAGCCTCATAAAGAGATCTCTGGCTTCTTTTTTGTATGTTACAACATCCAAGGCATGAGGAAGAGCTTCACATAGCTAAAAGCAGGAGGGATAGTGTGTTCAGGACAGTCCTGGGGAAGCTTAGAAGCAATAGTCTTGGGAGACGGCATGAATGATTCATAAGAAAATTTCCACCAATCCCGTATCCCCAAATTGTACAAACAGGAAAGTCCCCCAAGTATGCAACAGGTGGAGATGAAAACCAAAGGTGGCACGGTGGCCATCATGTGACTCAGCTTTGATGCATCTTTGTCAAGCAGCTGTGCTGGCTTTACGACTTTGCTGTCCCCATCAGATATGGCTGTGCCAGGATTAGGATTGTACAACTTCAATACGTTTTCCCCACAAAACTCTCATCAACAATTTCCAAGTCAGTATATAAAGTTCAATGTTTCTTAAAACTAGATGTCATGAGTGATACACAATTAAAAATTATTTCCCATGTAAGGAAGCCTTTGTTAACTACTCTGAGCTCCTGTAACCATTCCAACGAAAGGAATTACAGCCTTACACAATTTTGTAAGTATTTCTGTTGACAGGATATCTAGCAGTACAATAG